TAATTTCCAGTATCCTACCGTGGACTTGATACATTCTCAGACGTTTCGCCGGCATCATCAGTGAGTTTTTCCATTCTCCGCACCAAGCGACAAATTCGTCAAAGAGACAAGTGAAGTCAATCCTTCGTTTGCCGTTCTGTCGACACGATTGCACTCTCACTCTTCTTTATGACCTAGCCCATCTATCCACCACTTAACCTCTTTTAAATTCCCACCCTAACACAACTTCTGACTTTTTGTGTTCAGGAGTTTCCTGCATAGCATGCAGCGCCTGCAAACAGAAATATATTGGCGAAACAGGGAGACAAATAAGCTTCCGAATCAAGCAACATCAAAGGCCCTGCAGGAAAATTTATACCTAAAGATCAGAATTAGTGGAGCATGTCGCACAGACTGGACACGAGATCATTTGGAAGGCAACTGAAAGAAGGGCCTCATACGGTAAAAACACAAGGAATCGTAAGATTAAGGAGGCTATTGACATCCTTGGTGAGCAAAATATAACGAACAGGAGATTAGAGGAAGGCAGGGTTAACGATAACTTCGCCTACTGTTTAAGCAAACTCGGGAAAAACAAGAATACAGCAAGACCAGCAAAAAGGGGACGCCTGGAGCAGGAATCTATCACTAACCGGAGGAAAAAGGATCTCGATGAGGAAAATGGGGGCGGGGGCTTTTGGCAATCAAGCAAAGACGTCAATGAGTGATGTCCGTTTTGAATAAACCAGTACAACTTTGGGGGCCTGGCAGTCAGGGAACTAGGGAGACGGATAAGCATAACCTTTACAGAAATTCGGCATTATGGCCAAAATATAATAGAAATCTACTTGAGATGCTACGGGCGACCAGAGATGGGCGTTCACAGTTTGCTCAGGTAACACGGGTTTAATCAAGGAGACGACCCTTGAGGGCAATGCCTAAACTCTTCAACCATAGGAATCAGATGATGGGCCATATGAAGTGGGGTTGAGAGAAAGAGTTGCAACACTAGAAGTTAGATCAAAAAAATAGGGGCGAGAAGTGATGCTTCTTCACTTATTTTTTAATTGTTTTTATTCTCTCCTTAGGCTCCAAGAAATGAGTTGTCAACTATCCAAATGCGAAAATCAAATGAAGAATTACCTTAATGAATTAGAGCTTGAGAAACAAAGGACTCAGGTAAGCTCTTCTGACGTAAATGTTTGCGAGCTTTTTGCCTTGACTTTACTCTGTCCTATATAATAATTCTTCATGGTAAAAATGTTTTGAATTCTCAAAAATTTATTTAAAATCCCTAAATACCTTTGGATTTGGGACGAATAATGCAGGTTATTAAGATGTTTGCCATTTTTATATTTTTAATTTTGTCAGATCGACACGACTAATGAAGTTTTAAACAGCCAGGATTTAGGCAACAGCATCTTGGCCTTCACCTTTTCTTTCAGATTGTTTCTTCGGCATTGAAGATTGTTCTTCAATTATTTATCTTCTCTTTTTTCATCAGGATTATGCATCTGCTCTGACTGCATCACATAATGAAATGAGACAGTGCCGGGACAAGGAGAGACGTCAATATGAGCTCATCTCTAGTCTCAAATATCAATTTGCGGTAAGCATTTTGTTTAAATGTCATTTCTCTTAGAGATTTTTTTATTTATATTCCTGAATCTCATTTAATATCGCTCGACTTATTGCCTTTATATGACCTTGATACTATCTACAAAGTTACCAAACGGCCTGACTTGTTTCATGCTTAAGCATCGGGATTATGTAGCATCATTTCGGGGAAAAAACTAGTTTTACTAACCTCAAAGCCATCGTAATCATCTAACTTGCTGAATCTTTGGCCATTTTATTTTCATGTCGATATGTGTGAGATTTCTTCGGGAAAGATGAAGGCAATCGTTTATTGGACACTAAAAACTTTTTATTACAATTTACGTCGCGTTTACAGATATATATATATATTTACCAGGTGCCTTTTGCAGGTCTCCTCATCTGCATTCTTTCCCCTTTCTCCTACTTCGCTTGTCAATTGGTCAAAGCTAAACGTCAATTATTACTGTCTCGCTAACTCAAATCTCGCTGCCTAAACGCCTTCAATTTTCGTCCTCGACTACGCCATATTCGAGGATTTATAGCAGATGGTGCCCATGCCAGTGCCTGGGAATCTTCCTTTCCCTAGGCTTCAAACCCATGACCCGGTTATCCTCTTCCTTTTCCCCACCCACGTTGTGTCTCATTATTTGGAGCCCTGTGTTCGACTTAAGTCATAACCGCTGGTGTGAAAATGCACCGCTTCCCCCTTTTTCCTCCGAATCTCCAAAAGCACATCCCTCTCGTCATTCAAGTTGACATTCCCATCCTAGTCTACTAGGGTATCCATGTATGCGTTGACTCGTATTTCATGTGGTCAAGCGTGCCACCAGTCACCTCTAATTAAGGAACAGACACAAAAAATGCACACAAGTGCATACTTGCACACACTGGTGACCTATATCTAGTCCACCTATACCTTGAGCCGTTAATTTCCTCTCCTGCATGTTGACCCCTTCCCCGGAGTAAATTTTTGGTCATTTCCAGGTTTGACTCCTCTAACTGCAATCGCCTTTTCTTGACTTCCCTTTGTCCCTCATACTCCGCTCCGTGGCAATGTCTTCCTATTGTTAAAGAGTTGTTCTGGGTCCAATCATCTTCTTTTTGATGTCTTCGCAGAATCTCCAATTCTGCCAAGGCGCTACACCAAATTATCATTGACTCTCCCCTCTTCTAATCTCATTTTCACCAGGTTTCTTTGAAAGAGATTTCCACAACCTCCCATATCTTCCGTTTTATCCTTTTCTCCCAGTATTAGATCAGTCTTTCCGTTGCATTCCAGTCAATTGTGTGGTCGGTGAGGGCGATGTTTACCTATCTCCGGTCTTTCTATTTCGATTTCTCTGCATAGTCGCTGGTGTTCTTTGTACTGTAAGGGCTGTAAACAAAAATGCACTGGAGAGACGGTAAGGACAACCAGCACAGACATCAAGAAACACCAGCGACTAAGCAGAAAAATTGATACGGAAAGATTGGAGGTAGCTGAACACATCTCCCTTACTGGCAAGATAATTGACTGGAGGGCAACGGAAAGACTGGCCTCATATGGAGAGAACATCACAAGACAGAAGCTTAAGAAGGCTGTGGACATCCTCTTTCAAAGAAACCTGATAAACAGGAGATTTTCTGTGGCATTTGGTTTGTCATCTTTCTGCAGTTTTAGAAAATCTTAAGGACTGAGATTCCTGTCCAATCTAATCTACAACAGAATCTAGGCTTACTAACTAAAAACGTAAACTTATGCCCCCTCTTATTTATGCATTGAAGCTTGCTGTGTCGTAACCTCGTCATAATGATATTTCCTTATTAAATTGCCTTCAGGAAGAATACCTTAACTTATACTACAGTTCAGCAGAAATGAGAAAAATAAAACCAAAGGATTGAGTGGTAGGAGTAAACATATGAGAGGAGGAGCATTATACTTGAAACAGAAGTGGTTAAGTAAATTTATAGCTCTTTATACAAGTTGTCCCAACGGAAACCAAACACAACGGCCACATAAGATGTGAGGTAATAGAGTAGGGATGGGCAATGACAACTGAGATCTCAGGATTCTGAAGCCTACACGACTTGAAAAGAGCAGCAGGACTTTCAAAACCGTTCTCTGTGGGGCTATCGTAAACACTATCACATGTTCGGGGCTATTAATGTGTTCACATCGTTGTATGTGATGGATAAATTGACCAAGATCGGGGTTATATAGTCCTCCAGATGACGGTATTTGAGCGAAATGGATGGTTGAGTGAAATCACCAACTATAATCAGGAAGCCCTGAGGATGGCATGCGAAACAGATGGTAAAGGTGATTACCATTCACTTGTAGTGGGCACACTTGGTAGAAATTGAAACAGACGAAAATACAGATCAGTGTAGCTAGATTAATTGGCCATATGAAGTGTTGTTGAGGGATTATAATAGAGTGCTAAGAGCTAGGGAAGGGGAAGGTGAGATGGCACAATCGTCGAAAAGAAAATGGGTCATCTGGATTGCCTTCCCTTGCCTCTTTGACGAGTTATGAAGAAAAAACTGAGTTTCTAAGAGTTCCTTAGTAATTTATTGTGACAGGACTTTACATTTATAAGACATAATTTGTTGAATGAATTCGTGGAATGATCTCACCGGAAACCGAAGGAGGATTGTTCCGGAGTGAAGACTCTTAGATTGTACAAATAAGTCCTCTGCGACCCCGATGAACCTGTGCTAAGCTTTCATCTATACTGTGACGAGCATCATCAGAGCACGAATCCATGCTTTACAAAATAGCGCAAAAAGGTTGTTCCTCGGCGCTAAGGGTGGTACTTATCATTGACGTTGCCAGCGAAACGTATGGGAATGTACCATATCACTGGTTTGATGCTGGAACGTATCATTGAACAATTCACAGAACCGGAGGCCTCTTCGGCTATACAAAGTTGCGAAATGGGCCTACAAAGTATCTAGTCTGAGTAAAGAATTGTATGGAAGTTGTTTGACCTTGTTTTCGCAACTTGGTCATATTGGTAGGAACACTTATATGAACGCACCTAGTCCGGAGTCCATTGTATAAATCATCATTTCCAGAGTAGGACCGTGGACGTGGTACATTCCCAGAAGTTTCGCCGGCATTGTCAGTGAGCATTTCCAGTCTTAG